TGTTTTAAATTATAAACGAATTGTAGATTTGGCAAACCCTAACGGGCAACATTTGAACACTTAGTGAAATAAAAAGAGATATTATCGTGTGTTTTTGTTTTCTATGTGAACAAATTAAGATAAATAAAGATTTATCTAATTTTCTTGAAAATGAATCGACTGATTCAAAAAAATCAGACGTCAAAATAAGGGACTTCGAAAGAACTTTCAAACAAGCTATTACTCGATACTTGTTATTTAAATTTTTTAAGGGGATGACCCTGGGGCAGAGGATGATAGGAGGTGAAGTAGTTTTTGGTGAAAAAGTTGTCCCCCTTGACAAATCTTTAGACGTGTCTCGGCGTTTTTTTCTTTACATCCGGGGTGAGAAGTTTTCAAATGAACAACCTGTATATTTGAAATACCCTTTACTGGGAGCCGCCAATGCAAATTGTTCCTAAAACGTCAATATTGGTATCAGACTGTAACAGTAAACAGAATATGGAAAAGTAGTTCGACTAACCTCATGGAACAAAATTTGTAGTTTCTGCAATTGGGTATATCAATGTCCATAAACTCCGCGGCCAAATCATCCATAACAGTGGTCAAGTTGGTGATATAGTTGAATCCCGATAGAATCGTATCGAAGTCAGAAGATTCCTCATCGGAGAAGATTGCACCTTTAATAGAAGGATCGCCGAGCAAGTGCGTTTCGTTCAAGTTCAGTTCACCTCTGGACAAAGGATGTATCAGCGTTACCAAAAACATCATCATTGGGTTCAGCTTGTTCACGCTCAACAACCTCCCTGCAATTTTAGGATGGTAGTCCATCGCTTCCAACCAAGCCAACAAATTCCTATCCTCTATTCTGAAATACATGTGTTGGACAGAGAGGTTCGGCAATGTAGTACCCGTTTTCTTCGTTAGTATGTAGTTGACAAAATTATTGACACCTGTATGAGTGAATCTTCCTTTTCTCTGAAGTATATACTCGAAAGTATCCTGATAAAGTGTTGTCTCATTGTATACCTCTGGTTCACAGGTGGGGCAAGTACGGTTCAGAGATACGTATATTGGTAGAGCAACATGCATTTGTAGGTACTTTCCAACTGCTGGCATATACGCCTTGTAAGGTAATTTTAGTTTATCTAAGTAACCCCTTTCTCCGATACCGCTTAGCAAGAGAAGCTTGGGATTATTGATTGGTCCTGCAGCAAGAATTACTTCTTTCCTAGCCCTTAGGGATAGTCTTATTCCGTTTATTGAAACGTTGACCCCGGTTGCCCGTTTATCGACGGGTTCCGAGATTTGGATCGATTCAACTAGAGTGTTCTTACTGAAAAATAGATTTGGACGATCCTTGATCGGAGTGAGAAAGACCTTAGCCATGTTGTATCGTTCACCATTCTTGGTCATCAAAAAATGACTGATCATGCCAAGGGAGTGTCGTTTCGGCATTCTCTTGCTACCAACTTTTATGTAATGCACTTCTAGCATATCTTTAGCTGACTCGTTGTAGACAGCATCTTCAAAATGTAAAAGTCCACCTTTGCCATGACCATAATAAGACTGTTCACTTCCGGTGTAGTCTTCCAAATGCATGAAAATGTCGCGGAAAATTGAACCGTCCCATTGGACGAATCCGTTCTCGTCGTAGTCTTCGGGAAGACCGCCTATGTACATCAGGTTGCCTATTGCGCTGGTGCCACCAAGTGCTTTGCCTCGAGATATTCTGCATCTGAAAGACGACATGTATTATGTGTTTGATTAATGTGAAAGTATACTAAGTGACATATAAATCCGAACACCCATTTTAAATGGTTTTATTTTAATAAAAGTTGGTGAATGTATTTATCTTACTGTAAATAACAAGTGAAAAAATTTTCAGCCTTATCAGTTGGACATTCCGGTTTTTATACTGCTTTTTTTTAATTCACTGACGCTCTAAAAATGAATATTTCAGCCGCAGTAAAGAATCAACGTTGGCGGATTTTGGTTCTTGACATCCTTTACGATCGGTTACGACGCCTAGAGTACGGAGACCTGCACGATTTCGTCAACTTAACGAGTTTGATAGGGGCCGTATAGTGGGACTTCGGGAAGCTGGACTTTCTTTTCGGGCAATTGCCGTTAGAGCGCAAAGAAGTGTAGACACTGTGGTTAGGTGTTGTCAGGCATGGCTTCGAGAAGGCCGTACGCAAAGAGCAAGGGGCACTGGACGCCGCCGTAGAACACCAGACCGTGAAGATCGCCGCCTAAGATTATTGGCCTTAAGGGACCGTTTCTCCACTACCAGGTCCATTGCAAATGAATGGTTTGCAGAACACGGAAGACCTATTGGTATGCGAAGTGTTTACCGACGAATGAGTTTTGGCTTGTTTTCATACCGGCCACACTGGGTCCTCCCTTTAACTCGAGAACACCGACGTAATCGCCTTGAGTGGTGCAGACAACGGTCACTCTGGGATCAGGAATGGAACAGTATTGTCCTTAGTGACGAGTCTCGATTTTGTTTAGGCATGCACGATGGTCGTGCCAGGGTTAGAGGGCGACGTGGTGAAAGGAGGAATCCACAGTTTTTTGTTGAAAGACATGTTCATCACACTGTTGGAGTTATGGTTTGGGGTGCTATAGCTTATGGTTCCAGGTCACCTTTATTCTTCATCAGAGGTAACATGAACGCGCTGCGTTATATACACGAAGTTCTAGAACCCCATCTTTTACCCTATCTTGACACCCTGGCAGATCCAACAAGATAATGCCCGACCTCATGTTGCAAGAGTCACAATAGACTTCTTTCAACATAATGATGTCACATTGTTACCATGGCCACCAAGATCTCCCGACTTATCCCCAATTGAGCACGTGTGGGATATGATGGGTAGGAGATTGCTCAATTTGCAACGTCCTCCTCAGACTCCAGAAGCACTTCGAGAGGAGTTGGTGGTTGCCTGGAATGAGATACCATAGGAAGACATTGACCACCTGATCAGAAGCATGTCTAGGGTGCATCCACACATTATTAAAGGTCAAAGGGCTTTAAAGCAGTGCAATCATTTTGAAATTTTTATCATTTACTTATTATGCTTCATTAAGTACTTATACAAAATTTTATTAAAATAAAACCATTTATACTGGGTGTTCGGATTTATATGTCACTTAGTATATGAAGGACCGCTGACAATGCAGTAATTTGATAAAAGTTTTCCATTATCCTAAAAAATCGGAAAAGTCGTGGGTTCGATGGTATTAAAAGCGAGCATTTGAAAATTATAGCCGAGGACATAACAGAACCACTCACTTACCTAATCAACAAATGCTTTGAATCTGGCATATATCCCTCAATTTTAAAAAAGGTAATATAATACCGATACATAAATCAGGAACAAAAACAGATGTTAACAACTATAGACCAATATCAATAATATCCAATGTAGCAAAGGTTTTTGAAAAAGTTTTATCTACTAGAATGATTCGATACCTCACAAAATTCAAAATTTTAAGTGAAAATCAATATGGATTTACAGAAGGGAAGGCTACATCGGACGCAATAACTAAAATTGTAAATCAAATATATCAAAATATTCATAACAGAATCCCTTCAATCTGCATTTTTGTTGATTTAAAGAAAGCTTTCGACACAGTTAATCACAAATTATTATTAGAAGCATTGGAGAGAATTGGTTTCAGAGGAAACGCGTACTCACTGATCGAAAGTTATTTGTCAAATCGCCCACAATCTGTGCAGATATCAGGATCATTTAGTAAAGAAATGTATATTAAGTGTGGTGTCCCACAAGGAACTGTCTTAGGTCCGCTGTTATTCATATATATTTAAATGATATTTTCCAAATTATTTGTGTTGGCAAAATAACTAGTTTTGCAGATGATACTGCAATATTATATGAAGGCACTGACTGGTCTGATCTGAAAAATGTAATTGAAAATGATTTTATCAAAATTATTCGATGGTTTAACAGTAGAAAATTAAGCATTAACTACTCTAAAACACATTTTTTACCATTTGGATCTTATGCCAGACATCTGCCAAATTACACAAATTTCTCCTTCAATATTAATGATCAAAAAATGCAAATTAATAGAGTGCCCAACATAAAATACCTTGGAGTGGTCTTGGATCCTCACTTACGATGGGACATCCATGTCAATTATATTTTAAAGAAAGTTAGATTTGTATCCTACAAAATTAAATACCTTGGGAATATATTGACAGAAAAATATCTTCGAACATATACCATGCACTGATTGAGCCTCATCTCACATATGGTATATTAGCATGGGGAGCTGCATGTTCCTCAAATATCTATAATTTAGATGTTTTTCAAAAAAGTATTCTAAAAATGATATTTACAAAACCGAAACTTTATCCCACTGAAAAATTATATGCAGATGTTCGAATGTATATAAGACAGCTTTATTTCTTACACAGTATCACTCACTACCATAAATTTGTAAACACCGACCAAAAAATTAAACATAATCATTATACCAGGTACAAAATTCGTGGCACAGTAGTTCCTCAACCGCATAAATCTATAATGCAGCGATCATATCTCTATTTAGCGCCTAAATTTTATGAAATTATACCTAAAGACTTTAAAGATTTACGTTTCGGAAATTGTTTCAAAAGAAATTTAAAAAAGTGGCTACATTCTATATCTAGGACTAAATTTCATAAACTCATAAATACGAACATCAACTAAATACGTAATCTACTGTAACTAATTTTTCTCCTTTTTTGTCATTTGCATTCTACAGTTTCAACTTAAATTATTGGTCCATGTACAGGCGATGCCTTCTATTGGGCCTGTTTTGATTTTATATTTATTTACTCATATTGTTTGTTATCTTTGTACATTGAGTAAATAAATATATATTATTATTATTATTATTATTATTATTATATTATCCTGATTAGGACCGCCAGGATTGATAAACTCTTTCATAGATCCTCTGTAGGTGAGTAGGAGAGATAGAGATAGCGCGCGATCTGCGCTTGCGTGCAATTCCGAACTTACTCCTTGTTGGTTTGGACACTCGGCACAGCAAAACGGAGGCAGATACTTTTTCAAGGTAGTGCATTCGGTTCAGATGGTGTACACATGATTAAAGAGATATCGATGCAGTTCCCAGCTATGCAGGGAGACGAATGTTGCCATTAACCCTGAGTTGGGTTTCAACCGTCCACAAGGTGCAAGGTTACAGTCGATCATGCAGTCATTATCTAGACTTGGTCGTGTAAGATCTTTAGAGACGGTATTCGGTTTGGAGAACTTGATTGCTCTAAGGTAAGAGGAAAAACGCCATCCAACAGTGAAGCTTTAAATGAAATGATTCGTGAGACATTTCAATACCACAGGTCCACAAAAAGTTAATTGATAAATCGAACTAAAAAATGAAATATAAATTGGCGGCTTTTTGAAGAAAGGAACCAACCCACTAAATATGAAAAATCTTGATTTTAGCAAAATACTCTATTACGAGCATATAACTTATAAATTGTTTAGTGTTATATCATATGCACATATTTAAAGCCTTGTATGCCATTAATTAAAATCGTTTTTGGTCTAAAATGAATTTTTTATCATTGTCAAAACTTTATAGCTTAGTTTGCTGTATAATGTTTTTCTGGGTTCGTTCCTTTCTGCAAAAAGCCGTCCAAATAATAGTTTAAAAAAACTAAAAAAAAAAACACGCTTCAATAGCCAACCGAACTGAAAAGTAGAGAATAATTTTCATTTACCAAGAGTTTATATGACAGTAGTGGATGTTCGAAAAATCAATCATAATTAATGAGCTCAAAATAAAATTTAAGTTATTAACAGAATAATTCAATTCAGACTAAAAAGCGTTGACACAATTCACGCTCAAAATAAAATCCTCCTCGATAACAAAATCGACGGGTCTTAGCGTTTTTCCAAAAAAAACTGAGCTGCCAGTAAATGCGTTTGTTTCGTTTTCGATGCGCCACCCTGTATGTGTCTATCTATACACACTTCTCTCTTGTGCACATTGAACTCGAGCCGTGAGACATATTTTGATTTCACTGACCACTACACGAACAAATCTGTTATAGTGTAGTTGTAAACAGTCCGAAAATAGTTCCAAACGATTAGGAAATACCCTGAAATGATTACCTAGATTCCCTCAGTCCAAGACAAGCTCTAGGTTCCTTGAGCATAAGAAAGTTCCAATCTTCCCCTGAACGAATCAACGTGGTGAAGAGACCAGGTACTTCCGAGCTTGGACTTGGATAATCGCCAGCTTCTATCAAAAGGACCTTCCATAAGCCATTTTCTGTTATTTGATTTGCTACAGCGCATCCCGCAGCTCCACCGCCTACTATGATGAAGTCGAACACCGTTTCTTGCTCCTTCAAACATTATTACTAGTATTATGCTTTCTAGTTCATTTCAATAGGTCGCGCTGTTTCTGGCCTTTTGCTCCGCCGCCACTGGACCGACTTCCACAAACTACTAATCTTTTGCGTCCTTGGCATAGTAGTAATATTGTGTAAAAATTTCATCGAAATTCTAGCCGTACTTCTCAAGTTATAGGCGGTTATAAAAATAGCTTAAAGACTGATAGACAGACGGACCGATTGAAATAAGTGACATGGTTTTTCGTCGTGTATATGTCATATAACCTCCAAAAAACATAGCATCTATACAGCTTTCTCAGTTTTAGTTTTAGTTTTGGTTTTGGTTTTTTTTAGTTTTAGTTTTAGTTAGTTTTAGTTTTGTTTTTGTTCTTTTTTTTGCTTATCTACTTTTGTAATGCTTTTGGTAGTTTCAAGATAGAGTACCTTGATGTGTTCTATGTCATGACAAATGATCTGCAGAACTAATAAAAATGATTATTATTACAGCATGCGCTTGATAACGTAAACACAGGATAATGAAAACTTGCGCTAATGTAAACACAAACTTCGTTCTATGGGATCAAACGGAACGCGCGATAACGTAAACAATGTGTACGCTCGATAACGTAAACAACTCTCGGCGCACGGAAACAGCGCGACGGTAAAATGCTGAAGCCTCGATGATTTATGTCGGGGGGAGCCCCCGATTTATGATGTAGAGTGTAGGGGATTCACCTCTGCGATAAAATACGACAAACCCGGTCAGTCGTATGATCGTTTAGGATACGTTTATACGTACGTATGTATTTCATTTTTGAACTTAAGTGAATACATTGCACGCTTTAATATATTTTACGACTATGGCATCCACATCCTATAAAAGAAAGTGTTTAAAGTTGAGTGAGAAAGTGAAAATCATAGACGAAGTTGCACTAGGTGCGGGAGTGACACAGTTAGCAAAAAAATATGGAGTATCGAAAGCAACAATCTGTAAAATTAAGCGTATGAAAACTCAAATTTTACAAAGAACGTGCAATACATTTGGAGGTCCGGGAAAAAGAAAAACTTTAAAAAATGCGAAGGCACCTAAAATGGAAAATTCCCTGTATAAGTGGTTTTTAAAACAACGGGAAAATCATGTCCCAGTTAGTGGTGAAGTACTTAAACAGAGACCGAGACTGTTAAATTAAAAAATTAAAGAAACTGAAAATTTAGTGATGGCTGGCTACAACGATTCAAAACAAGATATCGAATTCGACTGCTGTCTATATCTGCTGAAAAATTATCAGCACAACCACAAATAGTGCAACCATTCAAAGAAAAATTGATGAAAACAATTACCGAGCTAGATTTAAGAATGGAACAAATTTACAACGCAGATGAAAGTGGCCTTTATTGGAAACTGTTACCAGAGAAAACCTATGCTGCATCATTTGAAAAATCTGCCCCGGGAAGGAAGCCGGAGAAACAACGAATAACGTTTCTAGCCTGCACTAATGCTAATGGTTCACACAAAATAAAGCCACTGGTAATTGGGAAAGCAAAAAATCCGCGCTCATTTAAAAATGTCAATATCCCTGTTGATTATGACTGTTCAAAAACCGCTTGAATGACTAGCAGTATATTCCTGAAATGGTTCCACAGGTGCTTTGTCCCTCAGGTATGACAATCAATTATCACAAATGCTCTATTTATAATTTGAAGATGTGTTTTCAACTTGTAGGTAACAGGTTTCCTAAAACAACAGAAGCTTCCAATAAAAGCGTTGTTACTATTGGATAATACACCAAGTCATCCTCCCGAGCAACAACTGAGGAGCAGGGATGGGTCAATTTTGGTCATGTACATGCCGCCCAACGTAACACCGTTAATTCAACCGATGAACCAGAATATAATAACTCACCAAACTATACTATAGGAAGTTTCTACTTTCGTCTGTCTTATCAAAGAAGCCTGAAAACTTATCTGAGGCTTTAAAAAAAGTAACATTACGAGAAGCTGTTTTAGATTTACATATGGCCTGGAGTGAACTTAACCAGCAAACTATTCAAAAATGTTGGAACAATCTCTTTTGTACCAATAATGAAGATGATGAAGAAGACGATGTCCCCTTAAGCGTAATTAGAGAACGTTTGCGATCCAATAATGATATGTTATTAGTGTGTCATTGGATGTTGTTGATTTATTGAAAACAGTGAATCCCAACATTGTTTGTACTCCTGCTGATATTAATTTATGGAACGAAGATAAGCAGACGAATGATGCTGATAAGGAGGAGGATATGGACAGTGAGGATGATAAGAACGATCCCATTGAAGTCAGAAGTATAGTGACTGACGCGCAAGCTATACAAGTTTTTAACCAAGCTTTAGATTGGGCTGAAAGAAAAGAAGTTTCGTACACGGATATTTTAGTTCTTCGGCGCAGGCATTGGAAGACCATGCTAAGCGCAATTTTGCAGACAAAAATTGTTAATCATTTTTCTTCTAATTAAAAAAATAATCGCTGTTAGAATATTTGTTTATTTTGTTATAAATAGTATGTATTAAACGTTTCTTTTAATAAATCAAATATTATATAAATCACGTTCGCTAATGTAAACATTTCGATAATGTGAACCACACTTGGATTAAATTAGTTTACATTATCGAGCGTCTGCTGTATTGTTATTATTATTAAGAGAATATCCATCTGTAGCAAACTCTGCTTAATTCCTATATATATATATATATATATATGTTCCATGGTCTTATTAGTAGCCTGTGGTCTCTTAATTACCAATTTGCTTGCCCTACCTTCAGTATTTTTTCGCTGATATCCTTGGGGTACACCTGTTCAGGATCTCCAATTAACTTCACGTTGAAAAATAAGGTATTTATAAGTAATACAAATGCATTGAGTAAAGATCCGCTCACAGTCGAAACATCGTACTTGATAACTCCGTACATTTCAAACTACTAATTTTGTACCCGCTCCGAATTACGAAAACGTGCCGTTGTACGATAAATTTGACAAGCTGTAAGTTCAAGTGACAGTTTATGATAGTTGAGTTTAGGAAATGACATGGGACATATGAAATGAGAATTGCACAGAGGTCTCCTATGGAGGTATGGCGTGAAGGCCGTTTTGCTGTTATTTTACCTCGCCACCCGTCAGGGATCTGTCATTGAAACTCTGATACCGTGTGAAATTTTTCCCAGATACTGTGAAGTCTATCTATATGCTGATGGCACTGCACTGGTGGTTCAGTCGCGTTCCGGGACTATGGTTCACGATAGGTCACAAAATGCAGTGCATGATGGGCTGATCCTCACGACTATTATGTAAAAAACCTATAAAACTTCAAAAAAAAACACGAAATGTCATCTTACAGACTACGTACTTTTTAGGGCGCAAATAGTTCATTCCACGTTTGTGCTGTGAGCGTCCATCTATGGAGGAATTACTCAACTACACGCATTGTTGGTTGCAGAAAACAAGTGTATGCTTTGTGAAGCCTCTAGTGTATATCTTGGATAGAAAGAAAGTCAGTTGGCTGAGTAGCAAGACGGCAACTGGATGATTATGTGTATTGGTTTGCATGTGTATAAAATCAATGATATGTGAGAAAATTAGTACTGAATATGCTTCCAATGAAGTATGTTTATATATATATGTATACAGGGTGTCCGCAAGTTGGGGTTTTCCTTTACACGACATGTAGATCTTGAAAACGTAAGCAATTTTTCTTAGTACCATATACACTAATGTCTTAAGGGAACCGAGATAAAGGGCTCTGCAACATCAAAAATATCTGAATACCGTCCTGTAGCCGCGACCCGGGACATCACCGAGTGGTACAAGTTCACTGGCTCAACCCGACGACAGAACTTGGTCGGGGTCAATGTGTCAGGTCAGTATGCAACCTTCAACCGACGGTTACGGTCACGCGTATAGAGGTAATCGCGTAGACGAGAATCCCTCAACAAGCACTAGAGACGTGGCTAGAGAAGTGCAAGTATCAAAAACTAAAGTGTGACAAACGCTGCGTGAAGAGGGGCTGTATCCGTTTCACGTCCAACGTGTACAAGCCCTTCAACCTGACGATTTTCCAGCAAGAGTGCGGTTTTGTGAGTGGTTGTTGCATCAACATGACAATAATCCGGACTTTTTGAAGTGCATATTGGTGACAGACGAATCTACGTTTACGCGTAATGGGGTGAATAACTTTCGCAACACTCATGTTTGGTCAGTAGGAAATCCGCACGCTGTCCGTCGGGCACATTTCCAACAAATATTTTCGGTGAATGTTTGGGCTGGCATGGTGAACGGTATGCTCATTGGACCATTTATTCTCCCAAATCGATTGGACGGGATGCAATACCGAGACTTTTTACGCAACATGTTGCCTTCCTTGTTAGAAGATGTGCCATTAAGTGTAAGACAATCATTGTGGTTTCTGCACGATAGTGCACCGCCCCATTTCAGACGCGAAGTGCGTGAGTTTTTGAATGAATTATTTCCGAATAGGTGGATCGGACGTAATGGACCCGTAGCGTGGCCTCCGCGATCTCCAGACTTAACACCATGTGATTTTTTTCTTTGGGGAGAAATGAAACGCTTAGTGTACAAAACTGAAGTGCATACCGTTGACGAACACTTCGTCTCAGAATTAAACAAGCTGGTGCTTTCATTCGGGGGAGGGACTCCATTCTCAAAGCCTGCACCGATGCTTGGCTACGTCATGCACGCACCTGTGTTTTTGAATCAAACGGCGATAACTTCGAACAATACCTATAAAGTACGTTTACCTAAAAACTGAAAACGCGGCAACGCCGTCTTATTTGTTACCTCTGTTCGTGGTCTGCACCACCGCCGGCGTCTGCTCGGTAGCGCATCAGCTGATTTCATTTTCTGTTGGAGCGGTATTATTTCGGGCAGAGACGTACTTAGCCCTTCTCGTCAACTGGAGAGTGAGTACTTTTTCCTTATTTTTTTTTTTTTTTTACTTTGGTCGCCCTCGTTTCACTACACATTACCTTTGTTATTTCAAGGGTAGTTGTTTCTGAAAAGGAAAACCCCAACTTTGCGGACACCCTGTATATATCATCTGTGCCCGATGTGTTATGTATATGTTGTCCCTTCTGAAGACAGGGCATGTACATAGTTATATAATTACGATTTACGATTCCCGTTTTTTTTTTGTTTTCAAAAAAAATTTTGAGGAGCATTACGAGAAATCGCCACCGCGCCCGCGTTATGTGCAATTAAGCCACATGACAGGAAAATAGGGAATGACGCATTATAGTGCGTCACATCTAGGCGCTGATTTGTATTTTCAATTGACATCGCAAAAAAAGACATCATTTCCATCTCCTATGTTACCAACAGCTTCTTTACAATTCCACACAAATTTCGATGTTGTGTAGGTTCTGCGATCATTCTGGTACACAGTTCTGTAGCGTCTAGCTTCGCCTGGAATTTTTGGAGCCCTAACAAATACTTTCACCCTAAAAACATTAAAACCGGAGATCGATATCTCTCGGTTTTAAAGCATCACAATTCCCAAACTTGAAAGACATGAATTACCTACTGCTTTGCAACTTTATAGTGCATCTCAAAATTGCAAAATCCGTCCAGAAAATGATCGGCATTTTGTACTGATCGGGGGATGGGCAGCTCCCCTTACATACGCCACTGGTTATTGATGTTCATCAAGCAAGCTTGTGCATGCATTATTTTCATCAAAAAAGATATGTTGCTGGGTATTTCAAATCATTGAATGTTTCATCACAAAGTTAACTGCGTCTTTAGATGACATCCTGAAACGAGTACGAGGAATATCGCTAGACACTTAAATATTTGCCATCAAATTGTTTGGACAATTTTAATGGATTTTTTGTTATATCCTTACCATATCTTAAAAGTACAGACATTAACCCTTTCTGTACGGGACCTCTTTTAACTGTACTGTCACCACCGCCGACTCATTTTGCATTGTCTGGGCGCCTGATGACGTATACAGGGTGTCCGCAAAGTTGGGGTTTTCCTTTACACGACGTGTAGATCTTGAAAACATAAGCAATTTTCTTAATACATATACACCAATGTCTTAAGGGAATCGAGATAAAGGGCTCTGCAACATCAAAAATATCTGAATACCGTCCTGTAGCCGCGACATCCCCGACTGGTACTAGGACACTAGCTCAACCCGACGACAGAACTGGGTCGGGGGTCACTGTGTCAGGGTCAGTATGCAACCTTCAACCGACGGTTACGGTCACGCGTCTAGAGGTAATCGCGTAGACGAGAATCCCTCAACAAGCACTAGAGTCGTGGCTAGAGAAGTGCAAGTATCAAAAACTAAAGTGTGGCGAACGCTGCGTGAAGAGTGGCTGTATCCGTTTCACGTCCAACGTGTACAAGCCTTCAACCTGACGACTTTCCAGCAAGAGTGCGGTTTTGTGAGTGGTTGTTGCATCAACATGACAATAATCCGGACTTTTTGAAGTGCATATTGATGACAGACGAATCTACGTTCACGCGTAATGAGGTGAATAACTTACGCAACACTCATGTTTGGTCAGTAGAAAATCCGCACGCTGTCCGTCGGGCACATTTTCAACAAACATTTTCGGTGAATGTTTGGGCTGGCATGGTGAACGGTATGCTCATTGGACCATTTATTCTCCCAAATCGATTGGACGGGATGCAATACCTAGACTTTTACGCAACATTTTGCCTTCCTTGTTAGAAGATGTGCCATTAAGTGTAAGACAATCAATGTGGTTTCTGCACGATGGTGCACCGCCCCATTTTAGACGCGAAGTGCGTGGAGTTTTTTGAATGAATTATTTCCGAATAGGTGGATCGGACGTAATGGACCCGTAGCGTGTGCCCTCCGCGATCTCCAGACTTATTTTTTTCTTTGGGGAGAAATAAAACGCTTAGTGTACAAAGTGCATACGGTTGACGAACTTCGTCTCAGAATTAAACAAGCTGGTGCTTTCATTCGGGGGAGGGACTCCATTCTCAAAGCCTGCACCGATGCTTGGCCACGTCGTGCACGCACCTGTGTTTTTGAATCAAACGGCGATAACTTCGAACGATACCTATAAAGTAGGTTTACCTAAAAACTGAAAACGCGGCAAACGCCGTCATATTTGTTACCTCTGTTCGTGGTCTGCACCACCGCCGGCGTCTGCTCGGTAGCGCATCAGCTAATTTCATTTTCTGTTGGAGCGGTATTATTTCGGGCAGAGACGTACTTAGCCCTTCTCGTCAACTGGAGAGTGAGTACTTTTTCCTTTATTTTTTTTACTTGGTCGCCCTCGTTCACTACACATTACCTTGTTATTTCAAGGGTAGTTGTTTCTGAAAAGGAAACCCAACTTTGCAGACACCCTGTATATATCATCTGTGCCCGATGGGTTATGTATATGTTGTCCCTTCTGAAGACAGGGCATGTACATAGTTATAAATTACGATTTTCCCGTTTTTTTGTTTTCAAAAAAAACTTTGAGGAGCATTACGAGAATCGCCACCGCGCCCGCGTTATGTGCAATTAAGCCACATGACAGGAAAATAGGGAATGACACATAATAGTGCGTCACATCTAGGCGCTGATTTGTATTTTCAATTGACATCGCAAAAAAATGACATCATTTCCATCTCCTATGCTACCAACAGCTTCTTTACAATTCCACACAAATTTCGATGTTGTGTAGGTTCTGCGATCATTCTGGTACACAGTTCTGTAGCGTCTAGCTTCGCCTGGAATTTTTGGAGCCCTAACAAATACTTTCACCCTAAAAACATTAAAACCGGAGATCGATATCTCTCGGTTTTAAAGCATCACAATTCCCAACTTGAAAGACACGAATTACCTACTGCTTTGCAACTTTATAGTGCATCTCAAAATTGCAAAATCCGTCCAGAAAATGATCGGCATTTTTGTACTGATCGGGAGATGGGCAGCTCCCCTTACATACGCCACTGGTTATTGATGTTTATCAAGCAAGCTTGTGCATGCATTATTTTCAACAAAAAGATATGTTGCTGGGTAT